GGTTTCTTTTCTCTTTTATTTTTTTTGAAGTGAAATGGAAACCGTTGTCTTGGCAGCAAAACAGTTTTTAAAAGCTGGTCAACATTTGATACAGGGCTCTGCTCTGTTCTCCCTCTGTGATATCTTTTGATATTGACCAGTTGCTGAGAACGAATGAGCTATAAGCAGCACACTGCTACTGACCCCTGATTTCATTTCATTTGACAGTCTGTGGAGCTTTATAACTTCCATTTCAACCCTGTAAAGAATCCTGGCCAACAGAAGCATGCTGTGGTTGTACTGAATAGCTCTATGCATGCATATCAGGTCTGTGCTGAATAATAACATGCTCTCAGTGAAGGTTAAATAAAGGCTGAAAATGAGTCTGGACAGGTGTTGTAGTCATGTGACAGAAATGATTCTCTTGTCTTGGTTAATGGTGTATTTTCAGGACATGTGCATTCTAGATTAGTACTGGTCACAGAGACCATGCAGCCAGCGGGACGGACTAATAGATGGGTGATACAGATCCATGCCTGTGTGTGTTAATTGTGCGTTTTGATCTGATGCCACGGGGCTCCAGTAGGGGATCGCGCTGCTCTTCCTCACCCAGACGAGTGAAGGTGAAGTTGTGTGTCCTCTTCATACCTCTCCCTTGCTATTCCCCCTGTTTAAGGTAATGACTAGGGCTGTACTCGACCAATGACATTCGTAGTCGACTAACATATATACAGTATATATATGATTTTGTTGTCTAATTGATCAGTTATTGGTGATTGATAATTAGAGAAATTCATTTCGCAATAGTATATTGTTTGAGATGTTCATCCTTAAAATCAAAAATGCATATTTTCCCTCTAACCTGTTGTGCTATTTATCAAAGTAGATTGTTTTGGCGTGAGTTGCTTTGTGTCGGAGATATCGAGCGTAGGGATGTCTCTTGGTTGTAATGGGACTATATGGCACTCGACCTGTGTTGCTCAAAGTGCCAAAAAAACTACATTTAAAAACTCTTTCCAGAACTCATGACAAGTCACTCGAGACAATCCGCAGACCTTGTTTAGAGCAGTTTCATTGAGGGAGCTAGTTCCTACAGTTTTTCAAATATCCCTTTAAACTTTCTCTCCAGAAACCTATGGGTGACATCACAGAGACAACGTCCATATTTTATACAGTCAATGGGTCCAGCCGTAGAGTTTACTCTACGTGTATAATGTAGTGTTTACTCTGTCGTTGTTAGCATATAAGCTAGTAATGTTACAATGTTGCACTCATGTATGGCTTTTGTAAGCATTGTTTGAAATGTGAGACTCGATACAGATCATCCTTTTCTACACCCTTACTATTCCCCCTGTTTAAGGCCACAACAGACGCACTCGCACGACGTGCATTATTAGCCTGTAACAATCTTCTTGTCTTTAGCCATCAGACCTGGATGGAATGTTGGTCCACCACTTTCATCCTGACTCAAATATCTGAACAACTACTGGAAGGATTTCCATTTTGCACATTCATAGTCCCCAGACGATGACTCCCACTGACCTTTCTTCCAGCGCCACCAGCAGATTTTCATTCATGCTCAGTGTACACAGGATCCGGCGGCACCGCGTTCTGGCGCCGTCACGGCCGCGTGTGTGTCCGGAACATCGTCTCACAATCCGCTGTCGTCATGGCCTATTTTTGCCGGAGTAGCTCGCATCTCTGAAGCATGAAATTCACTTTTAAATGTGTATAAACTCCAGTATTTATTGGTAACTGACTTAAAATTAATTTCCGTTTGTTTCCGACTTTGTCTTCACACAAAAAACAACACGTGTTAGCAGTGTCCTCTCTAAGCTACTAGCTTGTTTCCTCCTGCTCTCTGTGATCACTGATGTAGTCTTTCTCGTTTCCATATTTTTCTGTTTGTGTTCTGCGACACCAGAATGAGTGGGACATTTGATCGCAGCTCATAAATACCGTGTTGACCAGCAGGTATTACCAAGCTGCTGCTGCAGCAGCAGATGACATCATTATTGTATGATCATCAGACAAAATAAACAAACGGTATTGACGTTTGAAATGAGTGATCACAGAGGAGGTTTGAAGCAATGATAATTTGACATATACGAGTACGACGAAAAAACCTCTATTGCCACCATAAGGTTGACATTTTAAGTGAAATGTTCCAAAAACTATTGGATGGATTGCCATGAAATTTGGTGCAGACACCCATCTCCCCCCCGGGATATATTGTCATAGCTTTGGTGATCCCTGACTTTTAATTTAGCCTTACCATCAGGTTAAAATTTCAACTTGTTCTATACTTTGGTCTTATAGGTCAATAAGATGAACATGCTAAGGCCCGGATCACACCTTGATGTACGGCGTACCTGGTGTGCGCTCCTCTCTTGTGCCGCGCGCCGCGTTTTCCTAGCGGTTTGTAGATGCGTGTGAAAGTTAAATGTTCATCCGACTTCAGCATGTTATTGTCATTGTGAGCATGTTAGCATGCCAACTTTAGCCGTTAGCTCAAAGCACCACTGTGCCTGCAGCCTCCCGGAGCTGGCAGCATGGCTGCAGAGGCTTGGTATTTTTTGAATGCTTTAAAAAACATAATGAAAAAAGGCACAAATACAAATCTGCAGATCAACAATGAGCCAAAGTAAAGCCTCGTACTACTCATTCTCATCCCGGAGCTCGTTAACGTATTATTCAATGATCAGAAACCACATCGGACAAGAGACAATCAAACTGACAATGCAACTGCAAGGAAAATTAAAAAACAGCACATATATTGAAAATGCTGAAGACAATTTATTAGTAGACACTCATCAGTCAGACATAATAACCTCCTGAAGAATGTCTTCCTGAAATACACCATTTGATTGGCAGTGTAAAATAAGGCAAAGGGCTTAAGATCATATTTTATACACTTTTGCACCAACAATAAACAGTTATACATTCACTTGTTACTGTAGTTACGCTTTTGTTAAATCTGTCCGAACACCCACATACCAAGAAAACTTTATTAGCTGGGGGGGAGGGGGGGGCAGTAATACTCATCATAATGCGGTAGCTGTTTTTGGCCAGATATCTGCTATACCTACATAGAATCTGACCACAAGATTAGATTTTGGAATTGCAAAAGCCAACACGGTACACTAACAAGTTCATACGATCACCATCACCGCGTAAAGGGTACTACCACCAAAAGTGTTAAAGGTCTTGAAAAGTTGATTATACTGTGTATAGATTTAAATGATAGAAATGTCCCCTCCCTCACAGGCAAATACGACTCTTTATGAAGTATTTTGTTACAATATCACACATTTCCAGTGAGCTGCAAAGCGTATAGCTGAATAGTGACTGCTGCTTTATAGGAGACTAGCCATAGGTTAGTTCATCTTTGCATCGTGCCCTCATAAAAAAATATACTGCTACCCACTTAGCCAGAGTTGCTATCTTGATTTAAGTTAGTTTTACTCTGTATTCTGTTCATTCAAGGTATTTCTGTGTAAATGTGACCCCCACATGTGCTCATTTGCATCCATCTTTTTGGTGTGCTAGTCATCATATGTAGTCACTTTAACACTGCACTCACTGTACAAGAAGCTTTAACTGTGAACCAAGATTTGAACTCAACTTTCATTTGGAGAAAGCGTACATTAGGTTTCTATTCAGTCAATACAATGTTGGAAATTTACAGTACATGATCATCTGATGAATGGTTTTGTTCGTTTTTTTACCTTCATAATAAATCCTATTGTATCTTAGACATGTCCAATCTTCGAAAGGGTTGTAACCGAGCCTGAATGTAAAGATTTGAGAGCTCAGCACCCCAGAATTGCCAATTCTTTTTGTTGTTGTGGAGTTTCCACTGTTGCACATTTACATGTGACCCGACCTGCGTCAGGAAGTAATTAAGAAAAAAAACAAGGTTGTCTGACTTTAGTGCCAGCTGGGTGTTGTGTTGGGAATAAAGCAGTCTGTTAATGTTACAAATAGGAAACTGTACTTTCCCTTTGTGTCTTTTCACCATTTCTGTAGATGTTTCTGAAAGCAGGAAAAGCAATTTGACATAAGATTGTATGTAAAGATTGACATAAGATTGTAAAACATCCAGACATCTCTTTCAGAACCACACACACACACACACACACACACACACAGTGGGGTTGCTGACAGCCAGGATGGGTAACAAGGTTGAATGCAGCTCATCTGTACAGGGTCTATTATCATAGTGACAGACCAAACAGTTTAGGTATAAGACTAATGTCTTATACCTAAACTGTTTGGTATATTCATTTTTGGAAATGATCTCGTTAATACGAGATCATTTCCAAAAATGAATATCCATTTTCGTAAAAAGAAAAATGCTTCACTACCTCCGAAGCACCGAGTGGAATCAATTCATCAGTCAAGCTGAGTTTTCTCCTGGCAGCGCAAATGTTTGCAGTCATTTAGTTTCTTGACAGTTAGACTTGTGATTTTTCAGCTGGTGGATATTTTCTGTATTTTGGAAAGAAACTCTTCTGTTACGTGACAACTACACCGTTATTACTGAAAGAACAACAAATGACACCAAAACAGAAATCAACATACCTTCACCATAAGCACAGAATAAATATATATA